CTCACGTTTGCCGTAGTCTATTGGTCAAAAGCGAGTCACAGCTGAGGGGGGCACTTGATGGGATGAGCACTGGGTGTTATTCTATATGTTGGCAAATTGAAAACCAATAAAAAATAAATTAAAAAAATAAAAATAAAAAAGCAAGTCACAGGCCCCACTCATACTCAAAAGGAAGGCATTACACAAAGGCATGACCACCAGGAGATGAGGATACAGGGGGTCACCTTAGAGTCTCTCTGCCATTGAAGGTTTCCCTGAGGCAGTAAGTAGCTATGGAGCTAGGATCTAAAAAAATGGGGTGGCATTGACTATATAGATAGGGGGTAGGGGGAGAACTTTCTAGGTAGAAAGAACAATGTGAGGACAGTACAACGGCATTCCAAAAGATCTAGTACGATGGCCAGCAGTGTTGTTGCTCTCATGCTTAACAACCATCCGTGGCTCTTTGATGCCCATGGTTTTGCCCAACATTCAAGGCCAGATGGGTCATCTTGCATTCACTTTCTCTCCCTAGCATCTATGGCTTTACTCACCACTTCCACCCACTTACACTGCCCTTGTCCTACTATACATACTCCATCTATCTATAATTTAGAGCCCAACAGAAATTGATCTTCCCTAAATAATATTTTTGAAGATCTATTTAAGTGGAGGACACCACGCTAGACCCTTCTTGAATTGCAAAGCATAATGAAACACGGTCCTGGTTGCCAGATGGCGGGTGGGGGCAGAAGATGTACGCAAATAAAGAGAACAGGAGGTCCCCTTGCTGAAGGCCAAGCCCGTGGGGCAGCTGGCAAGTCCTGCACAGATTTTAGCTCCACTTCACACAGTGGTTAATGATCTTTCAGTATTCTTCCCTAGGCTAGAAATTGCGAAGGGATTCTAAGGTTCAGCCAAACTGACGTTTTTCCGGGAAGGACAGTTGGAATCGGGAACTGCCCAGCGTCAGTCCACACTGCCAGGCAACCTGGCCGGCCGGGGCAGTCCTAGGCTGGCAACAAAGGCTCGGTTGGCAGGCGGAGGGGGGAGCTGTGGAAGCGTCCTGCGCTCCAGCCCGGGAATCCCTGACCACATCCACCAGGGCCTGTCCTTGAAAAGCTGGGAGAAGAGGCCCAGTAGCCCCGTGGCCTTTGCCACATCAGCAGGAACAGGGAACATGGGAGGCAAAAGCAACCCAGGCCAGTACCCCAGAGCCAGGCTTTCTCCAGCCAGGGGTGGAGGGCGGAGCAGAGGCAGGGGGCGGGTCGGAAGCAGGGGGGCGGGGGGGGGGGCGCAGAGGGCGGGGCCGTGACGGACCCGCTTCCCCAGTCCAGCCTCTCAGTCCCGGAAGGGGACCTCCTTGGGCTCCGCGATGCGGGTCTTGGAACTGAGCACCTGCCCTCTGCTGCGATTGGGGGTTGAGCCTCAGCAGACGCCTTGGATGTCCGAAGCACCCTGAATCTAGGGGCGGGGGAAGGCCAGGCACCCCTTGCATCTCTACCCTCCACCCCCATCTTCCCTAGTGCCTAATCCACCTGGAAGCAGAGGTCTTTTCTCAAATACCCATTAAACCTTTGTCCTTTGCTGAGGGCGGAGGATCCTCGCCCCACACCCCACCTTCCCCTCTGGCTCCCAACTCTTCTCACCTTCATCTTCAAGAGTGAACTACCCCCAGGTAGCTCTGCAGGGCCTTTGTACCATATAGTCCCTACACCTGAAACATCATTCCCACCCTTCTTCATCTAACTAGTTACAACTTATTTTTCAAGCTTGGGTATGTACTTGGGAAAGCCTTGACCCCTTCTATCTTGCTATAGGCTCCTGGGCTTGGCCCACCTAAGCCTGGTCATCTTATGTGGCAATTCCCTATCTGACCTTTCTCTTTTCCTCACCCACCCCAAGACTGTGGGGTCACTGCAGCATTCCCAGTGCTTGGCCCGGGTATGGTGCTCAGTGAGATCATAAACACCCTGCCTAGTGATCGTCTGCCATCCTTTAGACCTCTGCCTGGTGACAAACTCCAGCAGTCGCTTCACCTCTTCACCCCTTCTTTGAGCAGCAGGTCTCAAAGTCGAGTGTGCATCAGTAACACTGGTGGGGGTGCTGTCTTATCAAAATAGAGATGGCTGGGCTGCACCCTCAGAGTTTCTGATTCACAGGGGTGGAGTAGGGCCTCAGAGTTTGCATTTATAAGAAGTCGCCAGGTGCTGCTGCTGACACAGGAACCACATTTTAAGAATCGCTGTGTGCATCAGTTGCTTCATCAGTAAAATGACAACTTCTGTCGCTGCCATTTGAAGGTTTGAGAGAATCAAATGAGATTATGCAGATGAAGAATTAAGCATGGTGCCTGCACCCAGTAGGTACCTGATAAGTGTTTGCAGTTGCTACTAGGAGTGGGAGGGACACATGCCATGAGGGAAAACATGAGCAGTAGAGATGGGTAAGGGCCCAGGCAGGTCAGCTGGGTTGGCAGGAGAACAAGGCCTAGCGCAGCAGCCAGGGAGTCCAGGTTGTGCTGTGGAAGCAGATGGGAGCCACGCACAGTTCTGGAGCAGAGCAGTGACAGGTGGAATCTCAATGTGGCAACAATGAGCAGGAGGCACAGTAGCAAATTAACTGTGCTAGGTTTTCCTTGGCTCTTGGTCAGTCGTAGAGACCTGGGATTTAGCAAATAAAAAGGCTATCCAGTTAAATTTGAAGTACAGATAATGAAAATTTTTTTAGTATAAATATGTCCCAAATTGCATGGGACATACTTACACTAAAAAATAAAAAAATAAAAAACACAACTTTTGTTATTTATCTGAACTTCAAATTTAATTGGGGATCATTTATTTATTTATTTTTGCTAAATCTGATAATCCTAGCCAGACATCAACGGCCTGACCCCACTCCCCGGCCCCAAGCCTCCATACTAGAGGGAGCCAGACACAGGTTCCTCTGCCTCGCTTCTCTCTTTCAACTAGGCCACCAGGAGTGACTGAGGAGCTGCTCCAGGGCCCAGTCTTGCTGCCAAGACAAGTGGTCACAGCTGCAGGCCTGGTGAGCAGGTCCTCCCACTTTATGTCAGGTTTGCCCAGCAAAAAATAGTGAGGCACAGTAAATAATCATTAGGTCTGTAATTTAATGAAGCACATAAGGTTAATAAAGGCCAAAAAGAAGGAGGTGCCACCTGCACTTGTGGGGTTACTCAAGAAACAAACAGTTGCCAATGGCATAGGCCCATCTGGTGAGTGTACCCAGAGAGGGGAGAAAATAACCTCTGTTCTTAACCCCAGAAATGATCAATGCAAGTACCCAGACTGCTTGCATGTTCACAAGATGCCTTGGAAATGGTTATATAAACCACAAGCTAGAACGGGGGGGAGGGGGGGTCCCTGCCTCCTTCAGCTCATTTGGTCATTGGGATAAGTCCTACTACCAGAGGCTACCTCTGTCTCCCCCACCCCCATAATCACCAAATCCCAGATGATTCATAGTTCCGGAAACAAGCCCGTCGGAAATCCAATTTCTGCAGCAAACTTTATATCAACTTTTTTTTTCTCTCATGAGGAACAATGAAAACAATATGTGTTCCATTTTTTTTTTAACAATGTGATAAACATTACTGAACGCCTAGTGTGTGCCCTGTGCTGTATCCAGCTTTTTATTTAGCTTAGTAATTCTCAGCCTTGGCTGCACACTGCAATCACCTGCAGACTTTCCAGGTGATCCCAGTACCCTAGATATCAATATTTGCCCCGGGGAATGGTGATTTCAATGCACGGCCAAGGTTGAAAACTACTGCTGTAGTTCGTCCTGCTTTAATCCTCACAATACGATCTGGCAAGGTAGGGGTTATCTCCGTTTTGCAGCTCAGGAAATTGAGTTTCAAAGAGGTACGGTGACTGCTGACTGCGGCAGGTGTAGCCATCCCTCCAACCTCTCCATTCCTCCCAGGCTCCCTTGAGGAATTCCTGGGTTTTCACGGTTGAATATCGTGGATATATATAATATATACATATTCCACAGATATGTTTGGGTGACGCTGCCCTCAGGCCACCTTGAGATGGTTCCGCTCCCAGCAGGCCTCTTCCTAGATACCAGCCAAGCACCAAGCACAGCCTGGGTTTAGCACTGACACTCAATGGCTTTTGCTACAGTGAGGACCACTGAGGCCAATCACTACGCCCATGTCCTGGCATCTTGGCTCACGGAACAATAGCGGCCACCTGTCACTCCCCTCCGCATAGGACCCTCTAAGCCTGGCTCTTTACAATTGTCCTCCCCACCCCCCAAACTTTTCCTTGGAGCCCTCCCCCTTCACAACAAACTCCCTCACCTCCTGATGCTTCTCAGCGAATCCTCTTCGCAGGAGTCCTACATCCACATAGGTTGCCAGAAGGGTCTCTGATCCAGGACAGGCCTCGCGAGCCACAGATCCGAAGGAAATGCCGCGCCCTAGCCCGGCTCCTCGCTCGTGGCTCGCGCGCCCACCGGCTTTTCAAACGTGAGCGCACCTGGGCTCACCTGTCCCCCGCCCGCGGCGCCTGCTGGCTGCCAGGAGGGCCAGCTGGGCAAAAAGGCTGGTCACCGCCCGCCCTCTGCTGGCCGGTGGCAGTATTGAGCGCGCCGTCGCTCCACCCGTGGGTCAGATGGATGCAATGAAGGACGGGGCATTTATTGAGCTCCTGCTGTATGTCAGGCACTGAACTGGGCGCTCGGGTGTAAGGATGAACGCGACCTACTTTCACAAAGCTCAGCTTCAAATGAGGAGACACACAGTAATCAAATAGTCAAGCAAATATGAAATCCCAACTGTGGACTGCGTGAGTCCACAGGACTCCAGGCTCCTGTCCAGTCTACGGGGTTTAGTGGAGGGAGGGGGGACGGTCAGGGAAAGTTTGCCCCTGAGGAGGGGACGTGTGAGCGCCAGGTGGCCCACAAAGTCGTTTCCTGTGATCTCAAAAATCCTACAAGGTGGCTATATCCCCTTTGCCAAAGCAGAAAACAGGCTCAGATTGGGGGAAACTTACCCAAGGTCACGCAGCGAACTGGAACCAAAGCCAGGGCGGCCTAAGTCGGCCCGATTCGAAAATCCCCGCTTTTCTGCTGCTCCTGGCAGGGGGACAGGTGCGGGCCAGCGGGACCGCGCATCCCGCAGCTCCAGGGCGCGGGGCGGGGCGGCCCTCAGGCCCCACCCCGGCCCCGCCCCGCCCGTCTGGGTGGAGGGGCGCCCTGGGGCGAGGGGCGGGGAGGAGGCGGGGTCTTCCCGGGGGGTGGAGCCCGGGCGGATTGGGGCCTGCAGACACCCGCCTCGGCTCGTGGAAGGGGCGGAGCCGGGGCCTCACCCGCTCCTAGAGGACACGGAAGCTCCCCCTGAGCGCGGGGCCGGGGACACTTGGCGCCGATCCCGTGCACTCAGGCGGCGGCTCCGGGACCCGGAGGTCCAGTGGGCAGCTCCCCAGGTAGGGTGAGCCCCGGCCTGACAGGAGGTGCCCCTCCCGCCGCCCGCCCCGCCCGTCTGTCCTGCCATCTGACCCACGCTTCTTCCTGTCCGCGGGCCTGAGCCCGTCCCTGCGCATCGGAAGGCAGCTCGGGGGTGGAGGGCCCCGTCTCCCTTTGCCCTTCTCCCTGGCCCAGCCGCTGCGGGACCGCGGACATCCAAAATACGGGATCAGGAGAGGAGATGCCAAAACCTCTCAGGGGAGGCTGGCCCAGCTTCACCCCCGCCAGGCTTTGTGACCTTGGCTGGAAAAGGAGAGGGAGGTCACCCACCCTTTCTGGTACTGAGTATCCTGTGTGGCAAAGTAGGGTCTGACCCTTGCCCGCCCTGCAGAGACGGGGTGAGTCAGACATAGTCGCTGTGAAGACTGTTGGGGAGCCAGGGTGGAGCTTTCCCCCTTCCAGGGCTGTAGGAATGGTTATCTTCCTGCTTCTTCTGGTCGCAGGTGATGAGCTATACCTTCACCCTTCCCCGAATCTGGGAGCCCAGAGAGGCTGAGAGCTCAGGCCCCGGGCAACTTGTTCTGGCTGCCCTGTGGTGGAGCTGTGTGCTGGCCTAGGAGGCCTATGGGTCTTCCCAAAGTGGGCTCTGAGGCTTGGGCACCCTGTGAGTCCTCCCCAGAGTCCATGTGCTCACTTTGCCAACAGTGGGCCACCATCATGCAGGGCCTCAAATGATACTTAAAGAAATCTAACCTCTCGACAGTGGGCAGGGGGAGTGCATTGCAGCCTGACCTGTGGTGCCCTCAGGACCAGCCTGGGTGACTGGGGCTGTCACAGTGCTAAAAAAAGATGCTGCTGTTCATAGGTGACATATATGGACGTTTACTGTGTGCCACTGCTTTGCATGAATTATCTCATTAATTACTCACGTGTCCCCTATCCCCATTTCAGAGGCTGAAACCGAAGCTCAGAGAGGTGAAGTGACTTGCCCAAGGTCATAGCGTAAGTTTCAGGGAGGGAATTAGAACCCAGACAGTCTGGTATCTTAGCCACAGTGTCCTGTTGCCATCCAGGATCTGGGCATCTGGTAGCAACACCTTGACCTAGGACAGCATGAAGAGCAGGAAATTCAGACGACTTGGGAGGGAGGGATCCCATGGGTCCTGAGAGGAATTCAGCTGGCCTGGGTCCCTGGGGGAGAGATGAAGTGTTGATTTTAAACATGTTAGTTTGGAGGGAAGGTTGGTATAAGGGAGCCAAGTAGAGCTCCCTTCTGGAGAAGACCAAAGAAGCAGAGCTGGGTCCTGGGGGAGGGCAGATGCCTTCAGAGATGGGTGCAGATAGAAGAGGGGAGCCCAGGACTTAGCTCACAGGAATCTCCCCAAATACTGGACAGGCCGATGTGCAGGCCATCCCACATCGGAGGAGCAGGGGGAGGAAGGAATTCTAGGCTGAGGAGGGTTTGAGAAATTGGGGCCTTGTTTCATAAAGGAGAAACTGAGGCTAGCACATGACTTGCCTGAGGATGCCCCACGAGTGGATCAGAGTAGGACCTGGTGCCCCCCAGAGATGGTGTCATCTCTGCCATTCAGCCCTACTACCTCAGTGGCTCTCTACCAGGAGCAATTTTGTTCCCCAGGGGACATCTGACAATGTTTGGAGACAATTTGGTTGTCACAACTGAAGGGAGTGTAATACTGGTATCAGTGGGTGGAGACCAGGAATGCAGTCCCCCCCCCCCCAAAGCAAAAGATTATCCAGCCCCAAACGGCAATGATGCTGAAGTTGAGAAACTCTGTACTAGGTCAAGCCAAGCCTGTCACTACCCACCCCCCGAACCCAGTTCTTTGGCCCTCAGCAGGGCAGATAGCTCAGATCTGAGCCTCCACTTGGGCAGACCTTTGCCCCTACTCCTGGTCTGTCCCTCTCATGCTTGCTCCTTTTTTCCTGGAAACTTCTGGAGTCCTCTCTGCTTTTCCTGGGCACAGTGATCTAGAGCCCTGCCCATCATGTGTCCCGGTCTATCTTCCTAGACCTTTATTCACAGAATTGGGTGTGGTAGGGAGGGACCAAAGTGGAAATTTTTAACCTAGCACATAGCTGGTGCTTTGCAGGTAAAAATATTTATTGAATTTGAGTGATAGTTTCAGGGTCCAATAAGCTTCATTGTATCCCAAGTTTTCATTTTAGCAATTCTAATTGTTTGTGAAGCTCTGCATTTCGAACAAGCCCCCAGGTGATGCCGACACTGCTGGGCCACAGGCCACATTCTGAAGGCACTGCAGGGTTGTGCAAGAGGTGGGCTGGAGTGGCTGCTCTCCCTACAGACAACTGTGGTGTGGTTTGGGAACTATGGAGTAAAAGGAACCATGATATGGGGTCAGGAAACCAGGATACAAGTCATCACTCTCCCCTCCTCCCCGTCCATCTATGGCCTGTGGATAAGTCACTTAACTTCTTTGAGGAGTGGTCTTGCATGGAAGGTGGTCCTCCAGGGGTTCTGATGCAGGGTCTGAGAGATAGGAGTGCCCTGTGGAGGTGGAATGGCCTGGATACTGGCAGCCAGAGGGGCAGTAGGCCATTGGCCTGGCCAGCAGGGAAGGGGCAAAGAGCTGACACTGGTGGGGTGGGCAGCGTGCCAGCGTGGAAGCAGCTCTCATTATGGCCCTGGCTCTTCTCCACGGCTGCTACAACCTTCTGCTTCTGGCTTACCCAGCTCTGCCTAGTGTGGGAAAGCTGGAGAGACCGGTCTGGCTGGGGGAAGGAGGGGCAGCTTTGATGGGGTCAGGGGCCAGCCCAAGGCCTGAATGTGGGTCTCAGGGCCTGGCCAGCTGAGTCAAGGTCTCAGAAGTCGGGGTCAGGCCTGAGAACTATGGCCTAGAGACTCTGGAGTCAGTGGAGACACTATGGACCATGGATTTAATTCCCGCCTGTTCCAGGAAACTGGAAGGAGTTTGGTATTTGGAGCCATAAACTGGGAGGTCACTCTACCCCCAGCTATAGGAGATGCCCTCCTTCAAACATCTGACCCCAGGAATAGAGCTCGGCAGAGCCTTAGGTACCTGAGATACACCACCCCTGGTTCTCCACAGATCAGCCATGATGGCACAGCAAGGCCCCTTCCGACTCCTAAGACCAGGAAGCAGCAAGCCAGATGAACCCATTTCCCAGATGGAAGAACTGAGACTCTCTCCTCCCTACTTTCTGGGAAGAGATCAGCCTTTAGGGCTGTCACCCATTACCCAACAGAGCCCTGGGCCTAATATATCATGTGGCTGCCCCTCATCACATCAGGGAAGGGTGTTGACCTCCTCCTGTTCCCACAGTTGGGACAACCCAGTGGTTCACACTGATGGGTCTGCAGCTGCACAGGCCAGGGTTTGGATCGTGGCTTCTCTCCTTAGGAGCTGTGGTCCCGGGCAAATCATTCCATCTCAGCCTCAGCTGGCTTGTCTGTAAACAGTAATAATGACACCTGCCTGGCCAGCCTCGCCGGTTGTTGTGAAGATGCAATGAGCCCTGCCACTGAACACCATGGTCATCATCATTACTCATGGCATTGAGAGACGCGGGGCACCCAGATCACCTTACCTGGTGCTCTCATTTGACAGATGTGGAGATCGGCACCTGCAGAAGGACGGCAGCTGCCCGGGGGCCCCATAGTAGGCCGGCGGGCGAGCAGGGGCTAGAACCCACACCTGCAGCGCATCTCCCATCCTATAGCCGCTGCCCGTCTGCAAAGGCGCTCCCAGGGCCACACGCTGTAAGCCTGGGGACCTGGGGGTGGGCCGTCAGGCTGCGGAGCCCCCCCACTGAGGGAGCTGGGCCCGGCCTTCGTCCCAGCACTCGCTCCCTTTGCCAGCACCAGCCATGAACTACGTGGGGCAGCTGGCAGAGACGGTGTTTGGGACCATGAAGGACCTATACCGAGGCCTGAACCCGGCCACCCTGAGCGGTGGCATCGATGTGCTGGTGGTGCAGCAGGCGGACGGCTCCTTCCGCTGCTCGCCCTTCCACGTGCGCTTCGGCAAGCTGGGCGTCCTGCGGTCTCGGGAGAAGGTGGTGAGTGCTGCCCCGCCAGGGCCCGCTGCGGGTGGGCTCTTAAAGCCCAGGCAGTCACTGCAGTCCCTGGAGGGGACCAAGACCTCCCTCAGGTGGGGATCTGTCCTCTGGACAAGCTTCCATTCTTGTGCGCGCTCTTGGCAAGTTTTGGGTTGGTGTGGGGGTTTTGGTCCTAGAGGGCTCCCATTCCCCCTGGGAGGGGCACAGTGGGGCCGTCCCTGGTCCCGGGGCATCCAGCCTGGCTCCAGATTACTGAGACCTTACCTGTTTGTCCTTGGTTAGTCTCTTTACCTGTGCAAATGGACACACTCTCATCTACCTGGTGCTGGAGGGGTAATCTGGGAGAACGTGATAGGAGCTGATAACACTGTCACAGGGCCAGGGATGTGGGTGGCCCCCAAAAGGTTAGCTTCTCTCCCTTTGGAAAGCTGCACTGTCTTCTCTGGGCCCAGGTGAACACGACAGCTTTTTGTTAGCACTGAGGTCTGAAATATGAAAAGAGGTTCGATGGGTCCAAATCCCTTTCACATTGGGGCCACTGGGAACTTGCTGGAATCCTAACAGGGAAGTGTGAGCTTCTAGGGGACCGTATAGGTAGGTGGTGAAGAGCTGGGGCTGCGGACTCGGAATCTTTGGCTCACAGCCACACTTGGCCGCCTCCCAGTATATTACTTAACACCCCCGGGGTCTCAGTTTCCTGGTCTATAAAGTGGGGGTAGTGGTAGGAGCCACCACATGGTGTTGCTGGAAGTTAAATGGGAGAGTCCAGATAAAACTCTCCATTCAGTGCCTAGGAAATGGTCATTCGTACCCTTGTTTATGTAGTCAGCAGGCACTCTGGGGGTAGGGGACACAGCCGTGACAGGATGGTCATGTCTTGTTCTGATGGGGTGTGGCAGAGAGAAGAACAGAAACTAAGGCAGACACAAGAATACTGAGACAGTGGCACGTGCAAGAAAGCCCAGAGCGGCTGCCTGGGTGGCTCAGTCGGTTAACTGCCTGCCTTCAGCTCAGATCATGATCCCAGGGTCCTGGGATCAAGTTCTGCATCAGGCTCCCTGCTCAGCAAGGAGCCTGCTTCTCCCTCTCCCTCTGCCCCTCCCTCCTGTTCATGCTCTCTCTCTTTCAAATAAAGAAATAAAATCTTTTTAAAAAGCCCAGAGAATGGGGAGGTGGGTGTGTGTGTACAGAACTCAGTGAAGGCTCTCTGCAAAGGGAAATCTGAGCAGAGCCCCTGAGGGTGGGGAGCAGTGAGGCACGCCAGGGGCTGGGGATGGGGGGCAGGGAGGCCAGCAGACTAGACTGTGGGGTGAGAGGCAACGGCGGGGACTCTGTGCCCCCTCAACCCATTGCAGGTAGACATGGAGATCAATGGGGAGCCTGTGGACTTGCACATGAAGCTGGGGGACAGTGGGGAGGCCTTCTTCGTCCAGGAGCTGGAGAGTGATGATGTAAGTGCCTTGGGGCATCTGCTCCCCCCGCCATCCCCTGGGTAGGACCTTGGGCCCTGTCACCCACCCACCCACCCTTGGGAACACCCTGGCAGCAAGTTTGAAGTGGGGGGATGGGCTAGGGCTGGCACTCCCAACACGCTGTTGGAGCCTGGGTAGAATTGGGAGGAGGGCACCAAAAGCCGATTTCCTTCCCTGGGGAACGTGGGGGAAGGTTTCTCAGAAGAAGACACTGGAGCTGGGCCCCTGGGTGGCTTGAAAAGGAGGAGAGTGCTGCTGAATGGCTGTGGGGTCAAGGAGGGGGGAGGCTGGAAAGCATGAGGTGGATTGTTCTGGATCTGGTGCTGGCTCAGTGCAGTTAGAACACGGAAGCGTGAGGGTCAGGGATGAGGAGAAGGGTGTTTCCTAAGGGAGGCAAAACCCAACACAAGGCAGCAGAGGTGTTTAAACACTTTGAGTTTCACAGACTTTAAGTGGGCCCCTATTGTATGCAAGACACTGTGCAGTGGACTCAGATGAGGGAAGGGTCACCCCCGCCTCCAGGTGAGCCTGGGAGACAGACATATACACAGCAGATGATGAAATTATATGGTCATGGCAGTGAAGGGGGTTGGAACTGGGGCTGGGGATAGTTAGGGCAAGCTTCCTGGAGGAGGTGATGTCTGGCTGAGTGGTAAAGGGAAAGCAGGTGTGGGCAGAGGAGATGAGTAGCCAAGGCCCAGGGTTCTGCTTGGACAGTGTGGTTCGTGTAGCACCTCGGGCTGCTGTGAACTGCCAGGGGTACATGCAGCCCTAGGACTGGGGCTGCTTCATCTCTGTGAGGGAACGAGGATGCCAGTGGCAGCTGCAAGGCCATGCTGCTGCTGTCTCTGACCAGCCTCCGTGCCTGTTTCCTGGGCCCCCAAAGGAGCTCACACCTGGGCTCTGGGACCCCTGCAGGACTCAGAACGATTGGGTGGTGATGGTGCCCCCCACCCAGGCTGTACGCCCCTGGTCTCTTCCACAGGAACACGTGCCTCCCCGTCTCTGCACATCACCCATCCCTTGTGGGGCCCTGTCTGGGTTCCCCTCAGACTCCCAGCGGAGCACAGCCAGTGAGCCTGAGGCTCTCCCTGAGGAGGTGCCCTCCACAGGGCGGAAGAAGAAACTTCGCAGGAGGAAACCTAGGCGGAAGGAGGACACGGTGGCAGCCAATTCTAGTTCCGAGGAGCTGGAGACAGGCGCTGAGAGTGAGCTGTCCCTGCTGGAAAAGCCAAGGCCAGAACCCCCAGGGTGTGTGCCCACCAGGCAGGGGGCCAAGGTTGTGGGGATGCCAACCAGGGCCCAAGCACCACTTCTGCTGATGCTGTGTGACCCTGGGCAAGGGCCTTGATTTCTCTGGGCTTTACCTCCCCAAGCCCCTGACCACCCCGTGCCCTGTCTGGGATGCCCTGACTTATCGGTGACTCTCTATTTCCCTGCAGCCCCCCCAGCAGTGTCCAGTCAGAAGGGGAGTCCTCACCGCAAGCCAAAGACATCTACCCCTACTCTGATGGCGAGTGGGGTCCCCAGGCCAGGTGAGAATCTAGGTGGCCCATAGGCAGGACTCAAGTCCAAGATTTCAGAGTGTTTTCTATTTACATTTTCCTGATGAATAGTGACATAGAACATGTTTAACATGTTTACCAGCCATTTCTATGTCTCCTTTGCCAAGTGTTTATTCAAGTCTTTGCTCTTTTTTTTTTTTTTAAACTAGCCTGCCTCATTATTGTTGGTTTGTAGGAGTCCTTCATATATTTATACTTTCTGGGTCCAACACAGGCATAAATAGGTATTACAAATATTTTCTTTCCCCCCAGGCTGGGGGCATTGGGCAGTGGTGGGTGATAGGCTGGCTTGAGGGTCTCTAAGTCCTTGCTTCCTGCAGCCTCCTGCCAGGTGGGATGACATCCCCTAAGAGTGACTCAGAGCTGGAGCTGCGGACCCCTGAGCCCAGCCCTCCACGAGCTGAGTCCCATATACAGTGGGCCTGGGGGAGGCTGCCGAAGGTGAGTGAGGTGTTTCTGTGTGGGCCTCCCATCCCTGCCTTTCAGGGGCTCTGTGATCTTCTGCAGGGACCTGAGATGTGGACCCCCAAGGGGTTGTGGGGTGTAGGAGGCAGGACCTGCACTGGCTCACCCCCATCCTCTCACTTGTCTGACTGAAGGTGGCCAAAGCCGAGTGGCCCGAGTCCTCGAAGGTGGCTGATGGCAGTGCCGGGGCAGCCTCTCCTCTTCAGGGGAAGCCCAGCACCCCCTCCACTTCTGTGTCTGGCGTGGATCCTTCGGGACCCCTTATCCTGCCAGCAGGGACTGCTGCTGACCTTCCTCCTACTGATGGGGAGCCTCCTGCTCTGTTGGGTTCCCCTCTCCCCATTCCTGAGACCAAAGAAACCAAGACTCCGAGCCGCAGGGAGGCAGGCCTGCCTCTTCCTTCAAAATCATGGAGCTGGGCCAGCCTCGAGGACCCAGTTTCTGCTGGGAGGAAAGGTGAGTGATGGTTGGACCCTCCCAGGGTTTTTCCCTGGCCTCATGTTACCCACTGGGTGGACTTTCAAGCATGTTTTGAGCACCTACTGTGTGCCTGGCACCATGCATGTCACCAGGCCTCACGGGCTCGCAGTCGAGCAAGGGAGAGAGATGAAGGCATGCATAAACAGGGAAGAGCATGTCACGGGTGACACAGGACAGAATCATTGGTGGGGACGGAGGCTACTTAAATCACATGGACGGGGAAGGCCTCTCTGAGTGGGGGATGCGCGAGCTGAGATGCGAACGATGATAAAGTCCCAGCCAAGTGAGGATCAAGGGAAGAGAATCCTGGGTAGAAGGAAGAGCATGTGTCAGGGCCATGAAGTGGGAGGAAGGTTGTATGTCTAGGAAGGGAGGCAGCTGGTGTGTCTTGAGCAAGGCGGGGTTGGGGGAGGAAGCCAGCAAGATGAGCAGATGCTGGATCATTCCTGGCGTCGGAGCTGGGGTTTATCCTAAGAGTGTGGGAAGGTACTAGGACTCACTGTCCAAATCAGTAGCTGCTGGCCAAATATGGCTATGGAAAACTTGGTTAAAATTAGTTGAAATTAAATAACATATAAAATTGCATTTCTCCATCATACCACATTTTCAGCAATAGTGGCATGGGGCCAGCAGTACTGGACAGACAGGGGACATGTCTAGCATCCCAAAAAGTTCTATCAGACAGCGCTGCTTTTTGGTGTTCACTGACAAGGGGACACCTACTGCCCATGCTACTAAGCACATGTTGGCACTACAGGTGTCCCCTCTGCCCTCAGGCTCCATGAAGAGAAGCCAGCACCTGGGCCCCAGTGACATCTATCTGGATGACCTGCCCTCTCTGGATTCTGAGAATGCCGCCCTTTACTTCCCCCGGAGGTACTTGGGTACTGGGTGCCAGGGTGTCTTGGAATTAGGGTCCGTGGTGCCAGGGTCTGGCTCCCAAGGTCCTGAGAGGGGTGGGCCCCTCCTCCCAGCCTTGTTATATTCATATCACTGTTGGTCCCTCTGCTCCCAGTGACTGTGGACTGGGGCCCAGACGGTGGAGTGCGCCCAACAGCCAGAAGCACCTAGGAGACCCCAACCCAGAACAGGAGCCAGAACCCACTCTGGACATGGTAGACATGATAGAGCTGTCCCTGTGTGGTGGCCTAGCTGACAGCCGGGACATTTCCCTGGGTATGTCTGACCAAGGCTGGAGCCCTTCCAAGGGTTGGCACTGAGCCGCAGGGACCTGGGGAGGGCAGGAGGCCCCAAGAGTGGGGGGACGGGGGGCAGCAGAGGTGTTAGGCTAGGCTGGGCACCCTTGCTGTTCTCCTCCTTGTGGGGTCCCATGCAGCCAGCGAGGGCAGGGCCTTCCCAACTAAGAAGCAAACACTTAGCGCTCAGCTGTGACTTACCCTGTGAATCCGGGATGGTGAGTGCCTGGGGTGGGCACAACAGGTGCAAAACACACAGGTGGGGAGGAGCCCTGCTGGCTCCCAGACTCAACCTGCAGGAGGCCCCCCAGTGATAGAATGTGGGGGAGCCGGGTGGGGCTGGGGCAAAAGGTCACGTCAGACGTGTCAGCCTCACTCTGTACTCTCTGCTGTTGTGCCCAGAGAAGTTCAACCAGCACATCGTCTCCTACCAAGACCTCGTCCAAAACCCTGGCCTCCTGGAGCACCCAAACCTGGTGGTGAAAATCAATGAGAAGTGAGTACCAAGACTGAGCCGCTGGCAGCCCCGGGGTCACCCTGCCCTCCCCTGCCCCGTGGCTGCTGTAGCCCTGACTCCCTGTTCTGTCTCTCCAGGCATTATAACTGGGCTGTAGCTGCTCCCATGATCCTCTCCCTGCAAGCCTTCCAGAGAAACTTGCCCAAGGTAACGGTCTGGGGCTGACTGGCTATGAGACCCACTGTGACAGAGGCAACCCAGGTCCCCTGAAGCCCCGCCCTTCCCTGGCGTCCTGGTGTTGCTGAATCCTATCAGGGTTGGACTTGACTCCCAGGAGCTCAGGGCAAACCAGAGAGGGTAATAAGCTTCCGCAGGAGACTTTTAGATCTGAGAGACAAGGCTTGGGAGACCTTACCCTACCCTGAGCCCCTCTCTGGGCTGGGCTGCGGGCCCTTGCTTGCTTTATTGGCCTGCATCTGTTGAGTACCTACTGTGTGCTGGGCACAGGCTGGGGACAGTCATGTCGTCCTAGAAAGACGGTTAATCATAAGACAGCCAGATGAATATAAAATTCAGCCATGAGTATTGGGAGGGAGAGACTGGGGTGCTCTAAGAAGCAAAAACAGGGGTTTGCTGAGCAAGTGCCCCCTGGGCAGAGATCTGAAGGATGAGCCATCTGTAGGCAGATGAGGGGCAGGGAACAACATGTGCTGGTGCTCAGAGCTGGGAAGGAACCCAGCCTCTTCAGTCCCTCCCAGAACTTCACCCTCCCTAACCTGCATCTTCCCCTCCTACCCCACTGGGAGTGGTACAGGGCCCTAATCTGGCCCATTGTTCTTGGATTAATTAGACTTGCCCAAGAACATCACTAACCAGATGTTGTTGACAGTTGGTGCCTCCCTTTGGTGAGGCTCTGTCCTCTGGCTGGCCCTGGGTCTGAGCTAGGACCAGAGCCTGTGGGAAGGAGGAGGGTTACTCTCTTGCTAGGTTCTCCTCACCTCTCCCAGACGGATCTACCATCTGAGGCCCCTGGGAGACTCCCTCAGCCTGTTTCCAGATCAAGGGGGTATCCTGGCTGACCCACCTCCAGGTCATGTCCTCCCAACTTGGGTTCACCATTCTGTCTGTAGGAAGCTGATACATCTCCTGGGTGGGCCTCGGCCTAGGTTCTTCTGGCCTCCCCCAGGGACTGCCTCACTTGAATCTAATCAGCATCTTCCCAATGTCGTGTTGCCCCCATCAGGCAGTGGTGGTAACACACGGAGAGGGAGGCCATCCATGGGACAGAGTCACTGACCTTTGGGGTTGCCTATGTTGGTCTGGGAGATTGAGGGGAGTACTGGCTATAGACTGTTCTTCCTGTTACTTGGTGGTATCATGCAGAGAGTCCTAGATCCTGAGAAACTCCCAAAGCACTGTCTTCAGCTACTCTAGTAGGAATACTGGCCTACAGGATCTGGAGGCCAGGCCAAGGCTGGACCAGAGCTAGGGGGTCAAGGCTGGGGTAGAGTGGGGATGGGGGAGGGTTGACCAGAATGGCCCTTGGTCTCTGCACTTAGCTCCATGAATCATTGCTTGGAATCCCGGGATGGAGACAAAGATGCTTCCTCAGCCTCCAAATGTTGGCAGCACCTTGCTCTAGCGTCAGCCTCAGACTCCGGTTCATGGGGACAATGAAAGGTAGGTTTTTGTGGTGCAGGAAACAAATGCCACGGTCTTTATCTGCCCACAGAGCACCGTGGACAAACTGGAAAAGGAGAAGATGCCCCGGAAGGGTGGACGGTGGTGGTTTTCCTGGCGACGCAGGGACTTCTCGGCCCAGGAGGTAAAGGCTCATGGTCAAAGGGCATGGTCAAGCCCACGCAGGAGGTGGGGCTCACTGGATGTATGTTCTTCCTACAGCGCAGTGCCCAGACAGAGAAAACCACAGCCAGGGAGCAGCAGGGGTGAGCTGGACCTCTTGGCTGGAGCTCTGCAGCTGGAGCCAAGCCTCGGGAAGATCCCTGTGGGGGCAGGGTGGCACTAGCACCTCTCCCCCAGCTATAGTTCTTTGTCACTGCCCAGTGACTTCTGCACCCTTCCTTTTTCTTGAGAAATGTCCCCATTTCACAGATGGGGAAAACCGAGGCCTAGAGATACACCCAAAGTTCCACAGCTGGGAACTGGTGGAGCTAGAACAGTTGTCCAGACTCCTGGCCCAGACAAGGGACTGCTGTCTTAAGGAGGGGTGGGGCCTCCCCTTTTTGCCAAGGTTAGGCTGACTTTGTCTTATTCACCTCTCAAGAAATCAGTACACCCAAGCTTGGGTGGGTGATGGCCAAGAGCAGGTCAGCTAAAGCCAAAGCAGGTGGGATTTTGATTGTTAATGAACCCTAAGACGCACTGCTCGGTTTTACAGATAAACATCTCCAGGGCTATCTTGGCCATGCTCTGAGGGCCAGGAACACTGGGTCTTACCAGCTCCAGCTCTGCTGGCTTCTTGCTGGGTGTATACTGCTGGCCTGCATCCTTATGCCTGCTACCCCTCTCCAAATGGGCAGATCTGGGTTGGGGGGGAGGTTCTGATCCCCTGGGTAGTCTCTGGAGGGGCACGGCCAAGCCCTAGGTTCCTTGCGGCCTGGGCTCAGAGCTGAACATCCACTGGGAGTGTAGGGCGTTGGCTGGGGAAAGTGGCCTGAGAGCCGGGCTGCCTGCAGGGAGAAGACTGATGTCCTGAGTAGTGAGGATGATGCCCCAGAGAGCCCTGTGATCCTGGAGGCCCCGTCCCTGCCACCCTCACCTCCAGCCTACACTCCCACCTACAAGAAGTCTCTGCGCCTCTCCTCCAATCAGATCGTGAGTGTGTGGGGAGGTGCGTTTGGGCAGGGGGGTGAGGCTGAGATCATGGGTTCCCTGGAGCCTTAAGTTTACCAAAGCCCAGAATCCATCCCCTCGGCAGCCTCCCTAATAGCCTCTCCTTGACAACCTCCAGGGTCAGGGGCTTACTTCTTTAAGTGCCAACCCCTTTCTCTGTTGGATGCTCTTACTGGAAAAGCCTTCTCTGTTGTCTAAAGTATCTACCTGTGGTGGGTTGCTGGCTCTGGGTCAGCCCTTGGAGACCACGCTGAAGGAATCAAAGGCTGATGACAGTCCCTCAGATTTTGGCAGTCCCTGCCCCCACGTCCTGTCTTGGAGCTTAGTAACTGGCCCTTAAGTGTGGCTCTGTCGGGGAGGTGCCCAGGGGGGCCAGCCTGGTACAGAGCAGCTACCATCTATACTTGTGTGATACCCACTTTGGGGTCAACCAGGGCCCAATAGCCTTGGTCACTGTGAGTGGCTGAGAGCTGCCCTGATTCTTCTCTATGGAACAAGGACAGGACCAGGTCTCTCTTTGGAGGGATATCACAAGTACACTGGCCCCAGGCAGGAGACCACCTGTGAGGATCTCCAGAAGGTCCCTTCTAGGGAGTAGGGTGTCTCCCTGCCAGGAGCAGTGCCAGCCTTAGGGCTGACCTGAGAAACCTGGGTGGGACTTGTGGGCCAGACTTTGTCTGTGAGCTTCATCCCAAAGAGGCAGGAAGGGAGGTCAGGGCTCCTGTGTCTGGGCCTATGCAGGCCCCAGCCAGCGCCCTCTCACTCCTTCACTCCCAGAGGCCGCCCTCTACCCGTATGGATGTGTCTGTGTGTGGTTGTCTTGGGTGAATTCAGGCAGGCTCTCTGAGTTGGGAGGTAAGAGGGGAATGAGAGGCCTGTGGGGATCAAAGACCACGGTTTGGGGTGGTGGGTGGCAGACACACCAGGCTGTGGCAGGTCACAGCTTTCCCCCTTTGCCTGGCCCCAGCGGCGCCTGAACCTGCAAGAAGGTGCCAATGATGTGGTCTTCAGTGTGACCACCCAGTACCAGGGCACCTGCCGCTGCAGGGCCACCATCTATCTGTGGAAATGGGACGACAAGGTGGTCATCTCGGACATCGACGGGACCATTACCAAGTGAGGCCTGGTTGGCCAGGGGAGAGAGGGCGGGCCTGGGACTGGCCTCCTCTGTGCTGGGGGAAGGGGGACATCAAGAAAGGCCCTCCACCCCACTGTGCCATCCTGGGGGCTGGGGGTCGTGGAACATGAGGGCTACGTGGGGCTGCCTCGGAGTGACCCCTCTTCTGTGGCTCTAGGTCAGACGCTCTGGGCCACATTTTGCCGCAGCTGGGGAAAGACTGGACACACCAGGGCATCACCAGTCTCTACCACAAAATCCACCTGTGAGTGCCTGGGCTGGGGCAGGGCCCCAGGGAGGGAACAACAGGATGTCTTCTTAGGCCACCGTGGCCTTTGCCCCAGGAAGCCAGGCTTGGGGACCCACAAGGGAATAAACCCCGGGCACATCCCTGGATGGTCCTCCATTCTCCTGTGAAAGACTTGTCTCCTGTCATCTGGCATTTGAGTCTAACTGCTGGTCTTCATGCTGTAGGGGAGGCCTACAGACTGGCTCAAACCTTTGGCCATCCTGGTCCACCTGGGCCTCGGGATGCTGTCCAAGGCCCTCCTCTCTGGGACAGCAGCTCCTGAGGCCACCTCTCTCAGATGTTCTCGCTAAGTCCCCTCCTTGCAAAGACCTCTGGGTTTGAAGGCCAGAACCCTGGGGTTGGGCTGAGCTGGTGGAAGCCAAGGGGAGTAGGGCGGGGATGGGGAGTGGCTGGTCTCTGATGGCTCCGTGCCACTCCTCTCCCCCACCCCTAGAAATGGGTACAAGTTCCTGTACTGCTCGGCGCGGGCCATCGGCATGGCAGACCTCACCAAGGGTTACCTGCGCTGGGTGAGCGAGCGGGGCTTTGGCCTCCCCAAGGGCCCCATCCTGCTGTCTCCCAGCAGCCTCTTCTCTGCCCTTCACAGGTAACCACCCCTATGGGGTACAAGCCCAGGGGCCCTTGAGGGGAGTGACAGGCTCACTGCGGCTCAGGCCTGGCCAACATCAGGCCTTGCTGGGGTGTCAGTTGAGTCTGACCCCGAGTCACCTGACCCTACCATCCTCTGATTGCTGCCCCTCCTCGGTTCCCTTTCCTGCCCATGGCCCCGGCTGCTCCAGGGAGGTGATTGAGAAGAAACCAGAGGTGTTCAAAATTGCCTGCCTGAGTGACATCCAGCAGCTGTTCCTGCCCAACAGACAGCCCTTCTATGCTGCCTTCGGAAACAGGCCCAACGTGAGTGTGTCCCCTCCCCACCGGCTGGGCTGCCTCCTCCCTGTCTCCCAGCCCACCTGGATGTCCTGTCTGTCCCTCCCTGTTCTCCATAGGATGTCACTGCCTACCGGCAGGTGGGCCTCCCAGAATCTCGCATCTTCACGGTCAATCCCCGGGGAGAGCTCATTCAGGAACTTGTGAAGAACCACAAATCCACGTGAGGCCAGACCCTGCCATGTGTCCCCCGTACCCTCCCAAGTCTTCATGCCTCAGCCTCTCTCTGGGCCTTGATTGCACCCAGGGCTCCCAGGCAGGATGCAGTCTCTGCCTGCTGGGCTGGGGGCTGGGGCCTGGTGGCAGTGCAGGCTCACCGCTGACCCTGTTTGGCCCACAGGTACGAACGCCTAGGTGAGGTGGTTGAGCTCGTCTTCCCTCCTGTGGGCCGTGGCCCCAGCACAGACCTGGCCCACCCTGAATACAGCAACTTCTGCTACTGGCGGGAGCCACTGGTTCCTGTGGACCTCGATGCCCTGGCCTGAACCAGCCCCAGCCGCCCCCTCCTTCCTGGCCCAGAACTGATGGGGTGTTCCAGGGACCAGGAGCCAGTCCCCTGAAGAGGAGGAGGGGGCTGAGAGCTAGTTGGCAGCCACAGATGCCCTTCCTCCTCCCTGTCCTGTCTCTTGCCTTTGCCAGCTGATCTGCAGGAGTGGGGCAGCTGCCCCAGGCCTCAGCGTGGCTCTGGCTTGTAGCAATTAAATGATTGTCACTTGGGCCCTTGCAGGATTCTCCATGCTCTTGACCTGTCTGTCCCTGTCACCCTGTACATTGCCTCGACTCCTGATGGGACAGAGAGGTCTGTGAGGCTTAGAATCTATACGTACAGGAGAGGCTGGCTAAGCAGCATGGGGGCAGCGTGGACCATACCCTCTGCAGCCAGACCCTTCCCTAACCCTGGCCCCCCTCCCGCAGCCCTTGAGCAAGACTTCGCTGCTCTCCCCGGTACCCCAGTACCTCAACACCCCAACCCTGGATTCTCAGACATCAAGGGATGGGGGCATGACTGTGGCTCCCACCTGGCCTAGCCTGTACCTGGCTGCTGCTCCTGTTCCTCTGGGCACCGCCCCTGAGGACACAGCCTCAAACCTTGCCAGGACGGGTGGTGGTGACCTGCCCACTCTCCCTGGACTTTGCTGGTTGATTCAGGGCCCCTGTGGCTGCGGAGTGAGCTCTTGCCCAAGAGGCTGCAGGAAGCTGGGCTGGCAGCCCACTGCAGCCTTCCAGCCTACTGTCCTTGGGGAATAAAATTCCTTTAGACGAGCTAAAAGCTTTAATCCAGGCCGGCCCTCCCCCAACAGCACCACAGTGGAGGGATGAAACCAGAAGGCAGGGCTACAGAGACCTGAATGTAGCACAGGAGGGCCTGTGCTGCTGTGGGTAAACTGAGGCCAGGAGCCTCAGCAGAGCTGGGCATCAGGGTCTCTGGGAACTCTGCAGGCTGGATGAACCCTGCGTGTTCAAGTGGCGTCGTACTTGAATATCTCACCACCTAGTGAACTTCCAGGTGGGGCTGGGGTTTTGCTAGGATGCTGGAAACTAGGCCCTTCTCTCCCCTGGCCTCCTGTGCAGAGTCTGGCCTCAATTGGGCCATGGTGTCTACAAGGGCTACTCCGGAGAGAGGCCCTGACCTGGGGATGGGGACAGGGGCAGGCAGGATTTTCCCCCAATAGAGAGGAGTCGGGGGTATGGGGACCAGAGGCTATGAAGCATCTTTGGGAAAAAGAAGATAAATTGAGGAGGGTCTCTAAACACATGGTCTGGACCTGTCCTTTGCTCAGGGAATCTACAGCTGCCTAAGCCCTCACTTGAGGGGAGGGTCCAAAGGAATAAAAAGAACTCTCAGCTGAGTCTTTGTGTTTCTGTTCGGTCTGGAAGGACGGGGGTGGGGGGTGGAAATCTCTGGTCCTTGGTTCAGAAACTGTATCCACAAAGCTGCCAGGTGTGAGGACAGTGCCAGTGGGCGCCACCTTCCTGCAGAAACTGAGCCCGGATGGCTAGGGAGAGAGGTCAAGGGGACGAGGGAACCGGAAGCCTCCCCAGGCTGGGGGCTATTGCCCAGGGACAGAGGAAGATGTGGATAGGCCGCCATGTGGGACTGGACCTGCGGGCCTCTGTAGAGGTGATGACCCTGTATATCTGCAGAAGAGCAATGCAGACCGGACTGTGAGGTCCTTTAGGTCCGCCCTGGCCTTCAGGCATGATGTCCTTGCCTTGACCGTGATCCTGAATCGTCCAGTTGGTACGAGTGTTGATTTTCATGGCTGGGATAGTCCTATGGAGCTGGACCAAGGCTAGTCTTTCCGTGGCCTCTGAAGTGGCATCCATGCCGGCCAGGGAGAGGCTGGGAGGCACTGTTGGGCAAGGCTGGGCTCTGGAGGGACACCCCCAGGGTTGGTGAGATCCAGGGTTAGGTCCTCTCTGACCCGCCTAGTCGGCTTGCCGGGGCCGCACCTGCTCGGCCAGCTGGGCCCGGCAGTCCAGGAGGTCATCCCGGAGGCGGGCGATGTCCTGTGCGTGCTGAGCCAGCGTGCGATTCAGCTGGTCCACGTAGCCCCACAGGCCTTCCCTGGGCCCGAGTGACTCAGTGGGCAAGCTGTCCAGGCCCGCAGCCAGTAGGCCCAGCCTCCCACATGCACCCTCCACTTGAGCCACCCGCTGGTCAAAGTGGCCCACCACGTGCCGCAGTTCCTGGGCCGTGTCCTGGCAGCGGCTCAGCCCGCCGGCCACGTCGGCCATGCCAGCCTTGAGCCGCTCCAGCTCCCCCCTCAGGCTCAGGACCTGCCTGTGGCCAGCCTGCAGCCGAGAGCCTTGGCTGCTGACCTGTTCCTGGATGGCGTGAACCTCGGCCTCCACCTTGCGTTCCCGCTCGTCCAGGGACGAGTTGGCGGCCAAGAAGGCATCAGAGTACTGGCTGACGGAGTCGCTGAGGCCCGTGAGTGACCTGCTCACAGAGTTCAGGTTGACCTTGAGCAGAGTGATCTCGCCTTGAAGTGAGCTGCCCGTCGCTTCGGCCAGCTGCTCCTGGACCTCGGCCACGGTGCCGTTGAGCTGCCGGAGCAGGGCGGCGTGGCCGGCCACCTGGCGCAGGAGGGCCTCACTCCGGCTCTGCCAGGCCTTCACCTCCGCCGCCAGGTTGTCCAGGATGGCTGAGGTGGTGCTGGGGGCGCACGAGGTCTCCAGGGAAACCAGCCGCTGCTCCAACACCGCCAGCTCCGTCTGCACCAGGGGCCGGGCTGGCCTGCCCGGTGGGGGTGGCGCGCCGTGGTGGCTGAGCTCCGCGGCCAGCGCCGCCAGGCGCTCCTCTAGGCTCCGCACCCGCTCTTCCAGCGTGGTCCTGAAGCCCCCCGCCTCCCAGCCACCCTCCTCCATCCCCAGGCAGCAGCCTCGCACCCGGCCCTCCGTCCCATTGAGGGTCTCCAGGCCCTCCAGAAGCCCATCCACACCCCCCTCGAGCATGGCAGCAGAGAGCCGCTCGAGCTCATCCGTGGCGAGGGGGCCATGGCCCCTCTGAGCCTCAGCGACCGCCCGTAGGTTCCTCTCGAGGTTGTCCACGCGGGCACTGATCAAGGCCAGCCGGCTGCAGCAGCTGCTCCCGCCGGCCACGCTCAGACCCTGCAGCCTGGTCCCGAGCTGTGACAGCTCCCGGCGCAGGGCCAGCTCCCGGCCGTCCAGGCTCTGGTGCAGCCGCTGGCTGGCCGCCTGGCCCTCCTCGCACTGCTGCCGCACCTCCTGCACCCGCAGGTCGCACGTGCTCTGGACACCCTGCAGTCTCTGCTCGAAGCCATCCAGCAGGCTTCCCCAGAGGCGCTGCAGCCGCCGGTCCACGTACTCGTCCAGCAGCGCCAGGGAAGTGAGCGGAGACGGAGGGGCCTCCCGCAGCCGCTGGAGGTGAGCCTCGTGGCCGAGGGCCAGCCCGTGCACCTCGTCTAGCAGCTGCACCTTGGTCCGGAGCGTGTTGCTCACCTCTGTCACCTTGCTCAAGATCTCGTCGAGGGGGGGTGGGAGCGGCCCTCCAGCTCTGTCTCTGGGCTTCACAAACCCCTCAGAGATGACCCCGAAGCCCACGGGGGTGACTGGGGCCCTGGGACCTCCAGTCATCTTGTTGGGGTCCTCGTGGCTGGCCACCAGGCCACTGAGGGTACCATATGCTTGTGCCAGGCGCTGGACATCACCTTCTAGGCGTTCCAGCCGCTCACCGAACAGCCCTGGGCCTTTCCTTCCTGGGAAAGAGGAGGAGAGAACCCCAGGGGCATCACTGGCCTGCCTCCCTCAGCCTGTCCTGTTGCCAGGCCACTGGAGAGTTTCTGTTCTAAGCTGACCTTCCCACTGAGCATAGCTCTCTCAGCTTTGGGAAGGCCTCTGGGAGCTCTGCGTCAAGCCCAGCATGAGATGCGCCCTTCCCAGCCCTGCTGGAGCTCAGCCCACCTTGGTCAGCCCCCCCCCCCCCCGCTACCCCCAAGAAACCTGACCACCTGGTAGGGTCTCCACCGGCAAACTCACCATAGGGGCTGGGGGCCACTCTGCTAGAAGAAGGGGCCTGGGGCCCTGGGCCCAGTTGCCCTGAGGGAATCTGGGGCTCAGGCTCTGGCTGGGCTGGGGTGGCCCCGTGGTCCGTCAGGTGCTCGGGGCAGCCTTCTCCAGTGAGGCCAGGGCAGCACCGCCAGGCAAGGTCCGTCACTGTCTTGTAGCCAACCTTGTATCTGGGCCTGAGCACTGTTCGGTACCTGGGCCAGCGAGGGGAGAGGGCAGGGCCCTGTACCTGAGGACTGAGGCTCCTGCCTCCTGGCGTAAGAGCTGGATTATCTGCCCCCCTCCACACCGCCGCCAAAGCTTTTCTTTTTTCTGTGCACAAAGTGACAGGGCGGTGGGGAGGAGGCAGGCCTTGCAGAGGGTCAGAGAAAGGGTAAGGAGCAGGAGCAGGTGCAGGTGCAGGTGCAGCTCCACCCCATCCTGTTTGCTTGGAGAGAACACTAGCAGAGATTTAGCCCCAATGTCCCCAAGCCACTGGATCCCCCTGTAGCTCATACTGCCATCAGAAATTCCACTCTGCCTTTGGTGGTACGTCAAAGAATCTGGACACAGCCTCAGCCCCTTCCCTATGGGTGTGTGAGGGGATGCTGCCCCGGGGCCAGGGTGGGCAGCCCTTCTCAGTGAGCTGGGGCCACTCTTGGCTCTCATCGGTCCCCTTGGTTCTCTCCCCTCCTCCCTAGCCTACTCTGGTAACTCAGCTCTGGCCACCCAGGCTGGTGGGGTAGCACCTCAGATTCTAAGCACAGGTGGGAAGGCCCAGGGGCGCAGAGCAGGGCCCACCAGTGCCTCTCCTTCCCCTGCTCAGCCACATGCTTATTCACCCACTGACACACTGGAGCAAATGTGATTGTTTTCAGACATACATGTGAACCACTCCAAGTGCAGACCTGTGCATCACACCTGTGCAGCATCCTACGTATCCTCGCGCAGCCCCGTCTGTCTGGCCTGAGCCCCTGCAACCTGGCTGCCATCCCCACACCCTTGGCCTGCCTTCTCCACACCCCTCCCTGGGTCTTCCTGGGGTCCCTTTGGCATCCACCATTGTCAGTCTGACCCTCTTGCCCTCTCTGTTCACGTCTAACGCTCTTTGACTCTGCTGCTTCTTCCTTGCCTTGGTCTGGGTCTCTTCTGGGCACCCTCCCCTGGTCCCCCTGTGGGCCCTAATCTGAGCCTGCCGTGTCACCTCCCTGGCCCCCTCCAATCAGCCTGCATGGAAGCTGAGGGAATAAGCTCTTCGGAGTCCAAGGAGTTACAACCCCGGGTGGCACTGGCTGCAGCCCTGGGAGGAAGGCAGGCCTGGGGCTTGTGCCCAACAGTCCCGGGTGGATGCGATGGGGATGCACTCACATGATTGTCCCCGGGCACTTCGGCCCCCATCCACACTGTCGGTATTCGGCCTTCACGTAGCTGTCTGCTCCCTCCTGTAGGACACAGGTCACATTCCTGTGCACCACGTAGGCACAGAGGGCCCTGCAAGGGGAACGGCATCCTTGGAATATCTGGCCTGAGCCAGGCCCATTGAGGCTCCTATATCTGCCTTCCCCATCTATGGGCCTCCCCAGGGGACAGACACCCAGATCCGCATCTCTCTTGTGTCTCTTCTCCTTGTTCCTGGGAGCTAGGACCAGACCTAGGGTCTAGACTCATGGCTGGTTGGTCTGATCCCAGGCTTCCCAGTGGGTTGGTTACTGGGCTAAGCACCGTAGTGAGCCAGGAGCAGCCCTTCCTGTGGTCTGACCTCCGCCCTTCTTACCTGGAGAAAGAGGCCCACCCTGGATTCCTCAACAAGGGCCTTGGCACATTCTCACCCTCCTCCAACTCCTTCACTGGCTCTCAGCTCTTTCTTGGCATTTAAGGCTTCTGAGATCCCAACTTTGTGCTTGACTACCTTTGAGACCACACTTCTCATCCCCCCATCCCCTGACTCCCTGGGAAACGCATGCCACCTTGCAGCTCCCGGCCCGCATCTTTGCTCTGGTTTCTCATTCTCTGATCACTTCTTGTGCGGCCTTCTCCAGGAAGCCTGCTCTGATATGCCAGGCCCACTGAGTGTCAGCCAAGGGCTGAGCGCGCTCCTACAGTAGAAGTCAGCCAGCACCCGAGGTGGAGCCCCTAACTCACCTGACCCGGCCGTTCCCCAGCCACTTGTTACTGGAAGCCGGAGGCTGAGGCCGGGGCCAGGGCAGGAGCCACACTCACAGGGTACAAGGGCCTGGGAGGTGGCGCCTGGCATAAGCCAGCCACTCGCGGGCTGCTGTTGGGCTCTGGAGCCGAGCGCGGGCCCAGGACCCAGGCACCCCCACCAGTTCTGTGGCCCAGACGCGCCGGGGCTTCCAAGGGGGGGCTGGGATCAGGCTGCGGGCGCTGGGCTCCATCACCTACCTGGCGGGGCCGGGGCGAGGAGGGGCGGCCGGCCCTCCCTCCCTCCCTCCGTCCCTCCCTCCCTCCACCTGGTCCCCGCGCCGGGCGTCTGCACACAGCGCAGCTGGAAAATGTTACTCGCTGGAAAGGCTTCCGCGGGCACTGCCAGGTTCCAGCCGCCGCGCCAGGCCCCCTTTCTCGCCAGCCCCGCGGCCTCCCGGGGCGTGGGGCGCCCGCGCTCGGCCCCGGGCGCCGGTGCTCTCCGCGGGCCCGCGCGCGGTCGGGGCAGGTGGGAGCGCCGCCCGGGCCCCCGCCCTCCCGCCTCCCGCCCCCGCCCCGGCGCGGCCCGCGCTTACTTGTGCGGCCCCGGGCGCAGCCGCGGGCGCCATCCGGTCGTGTAGAGGCTGTAGCGGGGGGCGCCCGGCGGCGCGGGCCGCGCGAGCAGCGGGGTGCCCTTGGCCTGCGCCCCCGACAGCAGCGCGGCGACGGCGCACAGCCACACCGGCAGGCGGCGGCCCATCGCGGCCCGCGGCTGTCCACCTGGCCCCGCGGGCGGGGGGGGTGCCCGGTCCGGCCGCCGCGCGCGCTCCCCGGAGCTCGCTGGCCCGGCCGCCTGGCGCTTCGCGGCCGCTGGTCCCGCGGAGTGGCCGGCGCTGCTCGCGCCTGGGGCCGCCGAGGGAGGCGGGAGGCGGGCTCTGCGCGGATTAGCATAAAGTTGGGGCCGCGCCGCTCGCCTCCGCCGGCCCCCTGCCGGCCGCCGGCCCCCGCCCCAGCTCGGCGCCGACGCCCGAGGGGCCGCCCGCCAGCGGGAGGTGCAGGAGGGAGAGCCCCGGGGGGCGGGGCGCAGCCGGTCCACCCGGCCGCCGCGAGAGGGGGCGCTCTCGGAACGGCCCTCCCGCGGCGCACGCGGGCTCCAAGCCGTGCCAGCTGCGAGACCAGGCCCGGGCTCTGGAGTTGACACCACCGTGCTTGGGCGCGCCCGCGCCACACCTCTGCAGCCGCCGCCTTGGAACAGGCCCCGGAGGGCCCCTGTCGGCTAGCTGCGCCTGCTCGCACCGCCGGCGGAGGTGACCAGGGCAGCTGAGAACCAACTGTGCTGAGCCCTCCCCGGGGTGGGGGGCGCCCCCCAACCTCTCCCTGCTCACCAGCCCTCCGTCGGTGGCCAGGCCGTCCCTCTGGTTCTCCGTCTCTTTTAGGTACAGGCTGCCCGGAGCGCCAGACACCCGTCACCGGTCCGTCACCTCTCCAGCCCCGCAGCAGAGGCTCTGCTCGTCCTTGTGTAACTAAAGCACTTAGCCCGCTGGACCACGGCACACTGGCTTTGTATTAGCCACCCGTCAAGATGGTCAAAGACAACCTTCAGGTGTTTCTCACCAGGAGGTGCTGTTGAGAAAGGCTTCAGTTGTGTTTCCCAAGCTTGGGACATTGACTCTTGGACCCCAAGAGCTGGCCTTGAGGGTCATTCTCATTCGACATCATCTTGTTGGCTTTCTAACCTGCAAAGAGCTTCTTGAATCCCGATTCTGTTATCCCACGGGGTGGCATCTTTTCCTGGCTTTGTCTCATCTGCACAGGTGACCAAAGCCTTCTGTCTTTACCCAACTAGGTGACTGGTGTGTGGAAGTCAAAGAACTCTTGACTCCTGGAGAGGCCTTCCTCCAACCTGAGATGTAAATCCACACACTCTTGGTAGAGTGATGATATAAGGATGCCAGAGGGGGACAGCTCTGAGATGTACATCTGTGCCCCCTGCCCATTCCCAGCCATAGTGGCTTGCGGGTCCCTGAGGGGAGAAGCAGACACCTGACCAAAGTGGGCTGACTGAGTGTTCCCCTTGGAACACAGGCTGAGGGGACTCAGCTTCCAGGAGGGGAATTGCCTGGTATATTTGTTTCCTAGGGCTGCTGTACCAAATTATCCCAAACTTGGTGGCTTGAGACAACAGAAATTTACTCTCCCCCAGGTCTGGAGTCTAGAAGTCTGAAATCAAGATTGTCAACAGGGCCACACTCCCTCCAGACTCTAAGGAGAATTCTTTGCCTTTTTCAGCTTCTTCTGGCTCCATGCATTCCTTGGCGTGGAGCCACATCACTGCATCATCTGCTTTGTCTTCACAAGGCCTTCTAACTTGTGTCTCTGTGTTCTCTCCTCTTCTTATAAGGACACCAGTCAGGAGATCCCTGGGTGGCGCAGCAGTTTGGCGCCTGCCTTTGGCCCAGGGCGCGATCCTGGAGACCCGGGATCGAATCCCACATCGGGCTCCCAGCGCATGGAGCCTGCTTCTGCTTCTCCCTCTGCCTGTGTCTCTGCTTCTCCCTCTGCCTGTGTCTCTGCCTCTCTCTCTCTCTGTGACTATCATAAATAAATAAAAATTTAAAAAAAAGGACACCAGTCATTGAATTTAGGGCCCAATCTAACCAATATGACCACATCTTAACTAGTTACATCTGCAGAGACCCTTTCTCTGAGTAAGGTCACATTCTAAGGTTCAGGGTGGACATTAATTTGGGGGGAGTATTATTCAGTCCGCAATGGGGTCCCTGAGGGCTGGTGCAGGGACAGACCATGGCCTACTGTATCCATAGCTATGAGGGACTTACACGAAGTCTACACAAGAGTTTGCCAGAGGAGAGTAGGGCCGAGTCCAGGGGCTATGGTACCCTGGGAGAGGTTCAGGTGGAGCCATTTGGTACTTGGCTTCCTCTGTCTGCTTCCAATGACCCACCTCACTTGAGCTAGCTCCAATGGGTTTCTGATGCCTGCAAATGATGTCTAAGACAGCCTTTCATCCTCTGCCACAAATCCAATGAATGTGCTTTTCCATTCTCCAGCCTTTAATAGAGATGTCCATCTGCTGGGGGGAGGGTACATGGGATCCATAACATGCTCTTGACCTTGTAACCACTGGATTTCCACTTCTCAGAAAGTGAGAAACATCTGGGTGGGACATGAACAGAACCAGGCCCCTCACCCCGGGCTGGGTTCCGACTGCCTGGCTGCCCTGCTCCCAGCCCCTACCCCTGACTTGCTACAGAAGCTGTGATCCTTTTCCAGGGGGCCCCAGCCCTGCCTCTCACTCCCTACCCAGCTCAGCTGCTGGGCCCATGACTTGGAGGGAGGAGGCTGGACCCAGTCTGAACTTGGAAAGTCTATATAACAAGGGGCTGAAAGGACAGTTGGACCCCACTTCCCCCCTTCCCAGGTGGCTGACATCAAACAACCTCATTAGCCAGAACAGTTTCGGGAACCAGCCCCAGGGCCCCATCCTGGGGCGGGGATGAGGAATGAGCAGAGGACATTTGTAGAGGGGCTGGAGGGGAGGCCGTCAGCGGAGGAGATGCTCAGGGTCTTGGTGGGATCCAGTCCTGCCAGAGGCTGGGGTCTCCCCCGCAGATGACAAGGCCACTTTGCATCTGCCATACAGGAAACCTAGGGAAGCCAGAGGCAGGGGAGGGAGGGAGGGAGTCGTGTCCCCCCATCACCCCTCCGCCAACTCAGCCTGGAGTCTCTGCACCTGGATGGAGGCAGGCTGAGGGGTCACACACAAGATCACTATTACTGTTCACAGGGACACGCATGCCCTTATGCAGACACATTCTGTCTGTCTGTCTCTGTGACACACACACACCCCACTTCCATACACAGAGAAGCATACTCTCCCAACCTTCACGAGCCTTTGGTGACCCACGGGCCACCATTCTCCTCAGGAATCATGGAGGATGCCAACAGGAAGACAAGATGCCTGGACTTGCATTTAGGGTCCATCAGTGAGTGGCACAGTAGGTGAACATGAGTGGGAACCTCTGTCAGATGCTGTAGCCTCCCTCCTTCGTGTGTCCTTGAGCTTCCTGGGGCAGAGGGGAGGCACTGGCGTCTGGGGAGGGGAGAAGATGGGAGAGTGCATCCCTGGAGGCGGGAGACACAGATGGGGCTGATGGTAAGGCAAGGCGTGACTCCGTGACTCCGTGACTCCAGCACTTGGCGTCCAGCCCACCTGGAGCAACCCTGCCCTACCTCCATGCGTTTCTCGGAGTCCAAGGAATTCCCTCTCTCCTCTCCAGGGCTCCTTGCACCCCACCCAGGATGTCCTCTCTGCTTTATCCAGGCCCTCCACGTGAGGTCTCTGAGAGCCTCACCAAGTTTTATGGAATGTAGCTCCCCTAAAAGAGACAGGAACAGAAAGCACTGGAATGACCAGCATTCTGGCACAGCCCCTTTCACCACAGATGAGCCCCCTGTGACTGGGAGAAGCACACCTCGCCCCCCAGGCAACTGGTGGGGGCACCAGCCCAAATTATAAGGGCCCCTGACCCATCAGCCCTTTGCTCCTGCCCACCACCCCACAGCCTCCCTGCAAGCGGCCGCCTTTGGAAGTCCTGTGTAGCCAGGATCTTTCCCCAGGGCTCACTCTCTCCCCAACATAAACATCAGCATGCTCAAAGCCCAGTCGGTGTTTTGATTACATCCACACCATCCAAAACAGTTACTGTCAAGTCCACACATGTTTCTGGGGGCAGCGGTTTGGAGTGACCCCTTCTAGCTAGGCGGAAGCAGGGTTTCTCCAGGACCCCTGGGGTGGGTGGTGGGTTGCTGTGCCTCTTCAAGGCGAGGGCCTGCGTGAGACACCAGATATCGTGGAAATTGGACTCTATAAAGCCCGGATGGACATCTATTGAGTCAGAGTTGCTTAGAAGCAACTTAAAAATTGTACTGATGGGGCCTCAATGTGGACACATGCAAACCAGATGTAATCGTTATGCAAATTATATGCAAAACATATGCATGGGCCTCCCAAGGATTGCCAACACCAGATGCACCCCCTGGGGACCCTGACTTTAGCTGAGCCCTGGTGTGGGGCACAGAGATGGCCCTAGACCTGCCAGTCTCTTATGGTGGGCAGGCAGCGGGGGGGGGGGGGAGAAACGAGGTGGGGACTCACTCAGATCTGGGTTGGAATCCCAGCTCCTCCACACATGAGTTGCTTGACCTTCATGGAGTCACTTTACTCCTTTGAGCCTCTGTCTTCCCATCCGTAAAATGGTAACTCTGAGGACTAAATGGGAACACTGGCTAAAGCTCTCTTCTGCGAGGTCAGGCATCCACGGGACCCGCAGTGAGGGGGTAGGACTCAGAGTCCCTCCCTGGGTGGGGGTGGATGTCTGGGCTTCTTTCCACTCACTGGACTTGAGATTGCCGCAGGCAGGACCGAGCAGCTGTGGGCTCTGGGAAGGTCAGTGCTGGATAGGCCAGGAACCCACATATTCTTCATTTCTTCAGAAATCTTCAGAAGTCCCCCTTGATGAGGGGGTGTGGCAGATGCTGTTGGGACCCTGCCAGACCCCCCTTTACCCAGCCTGCGTATCCATCATCTCCCCACTGTGGGCGTGATGATGACTGCTAATGCTCATGGCCACCCCTGCTGCAAATTGCCCCTGGCTGACGACAGCTAGCTCCCCGGGGACGTTACACGCCCTCCAGCCTCATAGCCAATGACTGGCTGCTACGGGTTACAAAAGTCTGGTCTTCTCACCTAAAGGGGACAGCCCAGCAGTGCAGTCAGGTTCTAGAGCCCCCTGGATCAGGCCACATCTAGACGCCACTTGAGATCCCAGTCTTGCTCTGCCCTTCCCCACCCCTCCCTTCTCCCTGATGTGTGTCTCCTGAGACCCAGTGAATCACAGGGTCCTGAATCCCTGTCTCCAGCTCTGCTTCTGGGGAACCTGGTTCAAGACAGGAAACAGACCTGTAAACAGAGAAGGATGATGCACATGAGGCCAATAC